CTCTTGCCCCTTAGGATCCGTCACCTACCCTCCTGGTTTAGGTATTTCACTTGAGCCCTGCCACCCTATCTGTACTACTTGAAGCGTTATTTCACAATCTACCTCATGCCTTTGATGGCACGCATACTCCCGTCTCGCTGAGTAGGCCCATAAAAATCAGAATTCTCAGGCTGGATGAGAGAATATCTTGAGGCTAAAGAACCCGAGTAATTTCTATGGTCAAACCTTTGCTTCATGGACCACTTTTATGATCAAACACATCTACTCTTAGTCAATTAGCTCTGGTTTCCGTCGCTTCCATCGTTCTTCTATCAATATTGCCAATTCTATGACTATCTATGGCGTGCCAACCCACAAATGTTGTGGTTCTACATTCAACTTAATCAAAACAAGTAGAATCCCAACAATTGTGGATCCTGGTAGTTTCGAAAACCTACTCACTTACAAATAAAGTAATATCGTCCATTGCTATAGAACATATATGATTGCTTCATCGGCAGACCCAACACAGAACGTGATATGACATTCGTTCAAATTCAACAAGGACACTCGTGGCAATGTAACTTAGCGGTTAAAGTGTAGAGATTTCACGCTGCACTCTCATGTTTCGGCTCCCATTTGGGGTGCTGATAAAACTAATTCGAGGTCAAAACTACACTCCACCCTGGATGAGAACACCATTTTGGAAAGGAAAGCTATGTGAAATTAAATGGAAACGTCCGCTTTATTTATACTAGCGTGGCAAAAAATCAACTACCCCTTCTGCATCACCTTAAACGAAATCGGGTGAATACCAATCATGTTCCTTCTGATATTTACAATTACCTATACCTTTTTTAGCTTTTCCGTACATTAACTATTCTTTGCGAGAAGTAATGTTAGATTAATAGGGAATTATTTCTATTTTATCAGATATTTTAAGCCAACAGTCAAAATTAGGATCATCACTAAGACTTATAGAGATTAAAGGATAGTAAAAGGTCGAAAGCGATAGCCTATATGCATGAGAAGTATGGATCATTTAGATTTTCTTTGATATAATGACGATTGATGTAGGCCAAGCATTATGTTGTGAGTTGTAGACAATCTCGAATGACCTTTTTTTATTTATTTTCTTAATTTCTGAATCTATAAATAAAAAACAGGTCCCATACTGTGTGCCATGCCAAGGTGGAGACTTGCCTAAATTGCCCATCAGCTGATGATGCCCATTCTTATTGGACAAATCAGTATGCAGAAGCTTAATTCACCGTTAACCATAACGACAGATGATAGGGGTCAGTCACGTTTGCGGGCTTCCAATTGCCGGCTGGCAGCTTTCATTCAATCGTACCTAAAGGATAATAACTCAACCACATTCTTCGTTGATTTAGTGAGCACGACAACTTGCATGGCAAGTTTGGCCAAATTCCTTCTTCAATTTTGGTTTTTACTGATTTTGGCACCAGTTGGTCTAAACTGCCAACAACGGAGCAACCTGTCAAGTAGTCTTCAGGCTACAGATCAGGAAGTTACAGCTTTAGGCATTCAGTCATACCGGCCAGCTCTGTCTGGGCGGTATGAAATTGAGGCTGCAACATCTCGGCTGCCAGATCGAAGGCATTTGTCGGAGGAGCAGACATCCACCAAGACCCTACGATCAGGCACCAGCAAGAGTGAGCAAAAGACAATCCAAACCCACCACAACTCTTCGGATCAACCGTCCGGCAGTAATCAGTTCCTGAAGACACCAATGGGCAGGGTAAAAAGAGAGGGAATTACAGCTCCAGACAGATATGCAAATACTATCAGGGAGGTCAATTCAAGGAACCAAGGAGGTGGCAAAGAAGCGACGCTGGATGGGCCGAAAGACTGTTTAGACGCCTATCTGGCCTGCAGTACCGCGGTCAGTTTCTGTCCGCGAGATATTGACATTTTCAACCAGACTTGCGGCAACTGGCAAGATGGTAAGTTGGCCGTATGAGATATTTTTATTTTCTCCGTTATATAAGTATTATTTTTAACAACTTAATTAGATATCTATTTTACGATACTACTTAAACGGGCTTCATATCTAGTTTGAAGCCATACAGAAGTTGGTAAAAAGTCCTAACGACTAACTTTTGAAAGGTTTGACTAAATAACGTAGCTTAAAGGCTTATAAGGCACTTTATACATTTTGTAAAGAAAAGCTGTATTTAGGATATTTCTTAAA